TGTGTGTGTGTGTGTGTATACATACATACATACATACATACATACATATACACACACATACATAGACAAACACACACCACACACACAAAATGCTTCTAAGTCCTGGATGATTTATAATAGCTGTAATCATGAGAAAAGATCCTTAAATATCATATGTACACAAACGTGAATGTGTGCATGCATGTGCTTATGTATAAGCACACACACATATACACATTTTAGTTTTTAAAAAAATGAATGCTCAAATCCCAAGGCAACATGGGCATCACTTTTTTGGCCAGCCAAGTTGTGAAATAATTTAAAAATGCAACGCCTTGACTGGGCAAATATGTTAAATAATCAGTACTTGCAAATGTCTTCTATTTGGACTCTCCCTACTGGTAGGCAACAGGGGGCCTGTATGCTCCCAATGTATTTTATTTAACAATAAAATGGACATAAAAGGATGTTTTGACTTTAATGGATTTTAAGGGAAGAAAAATAATCTAGAACAAGATTAATAAATGTTTGCTTTTACCCAACCAAAGCAATGCTTCAACTTATTACATAGCCAGTGCATTCTGAAATATAAAAATGAAATTCATAGAGAGGATGCAAGAGAGTTCTTCCAAGTTTTCCACTCATTTTCATGCACCATATTCAATGCCAGTAAAAGGGAGAGAGGAGGACAAAAGTCAAATTTGCACACAGCATGGGTAAGACATCTGTGCATTTTAAGAAATGTCATAAATGAATTTGCATTTGCAGAGATAAGCAGTCTTTTTATTTCATATATATTTTAAAGGGTGCTGCTTTTGTAACAGACTTGCTGAAATTAACACTGTGATTTAATTTCTTGGGAACCAATTTTTGTTACCAGATAAAATTCTAATTTTCAAAGATTCAGTCTTACCATGAAAGGCAATGCTGATCAATCACAGTATTACTAGCTTTGGATGCAAAATGAACAGGAAGGAGAGTGTCATTACATTCAGTTCTGGGTTTTTCCATCACATCTAAAATAGAATTTACCAGCTCTCATCCGGGGCAGGTTCCAAAATTCTCTTGCATCAGAGTATCATGTAATGCACCCACCTCCCCCAAGGATATAGGATGATACAGAAATTCTAGTTTAGACATGTGAGAGAAGCTGGGAGACCCATATTTACTATTCTAATCTTTGTACCTCTATCCCATTTGAAATCATTATGTATTTGTTTCCAAATATTACTTTAATCCAGTCCAGAGGTTTTAGTTTCTAGCTTATTTATGCAGATGAAACACTTCTGCTCTCTGTCACAAATGCCAAAATCAATGCTTCTTAGCCAGTTTATAATGAATACAGGGCAGCACATTTCCATTCACTTTAGAAATGGAATAAGAACTGTTACTCCTTGAAGTATTCAGTGTCCAATAAAAGTTTGATTCCTAATGTGATGGTAAATCCTTCACAGCCTTAAATTAACAAAGTTATGACAAGGAACCAGAATCTGTAAGAGAGTTACAGATTTGGGACAGTTTAGAGTTTTCTCCTCCATCTCAATTCTCTATATTATTTTTAAAAACCACAAAAAGGAGTGGTAAATGAGCTTGTTCTGGCGGGAGAAAGAACAATATCTAGAAAAAAAAATAATACACTGGGTATGTAATAATACCAAAATAAAACAAAAAACCTATCTCATTAGATCATACAATTAATCAAACAAAGTGTGTGTGTGTGTAAGATGTCTGTGTGTGTGTGTGTGTGTGTGTGTGTGTGTGTGTGTATATATATATATATATATA